CTAGGTTTAAATCGCGACCATTGATTTAAACAGATGGAAAATATGAGTGTACTTTTGAACCCACTTTCTGGATCCAGTGCTATTTTCTACTAGATGTGTAACTAATTATTAACCTTTTTACAGAGCAGGGAACTGAAGCAGAGAAAGGTTAAGAAATTCACTAAACGTCACATAGATATGAGCGCAGGGACCTCATAGCAGACAGTCTTGGCATTTACTGCCTCTTTGCTACATTTCTCTTAATTTTTGTCAGTGAATTTCCTGAATGGCATGAGAATGAGGCTGTATGAGTGATCTGTGCTGCTGTAGCAAGACTACCTACCACAAATGGTTGGCTTAAATAAGCAAATTTATTTATTTTAAAAGATCATTTTATTGGAGGCTCGTACAGCTCTTACAAAAATCCACACAAGTCATGATTGTTTTAAAGACCTCATTGGGATACACAAGCTGAACAATGAATTAGGTTCAGGCATGAACACAGTTATTTGTTGTAGAATTCTCATTGTTCACAGTGTTTCAAAGTAAGTTATAATTCACAGAGTTGAGTGCCTTTGCATGATAATAAAACACAAGTATACTTCTAAAAAATATCCACACATCAGGATCACGAGGTGTTGAAGTGATCAGGTATCAGGCATCAAAGAACAAAATAATCTTATCATTGTGAATGAGGGGGAGTGCAGAGTGGGGACCCAAAGCCCATCTGTAGGTAACTGGACATCCTCTTACAGAAGAGTCATGGGGAGGAGACGAGTCAGTCAGGGGGCACTGTAGCACTGATGAAACGTCCAACTTTCCTCTAGTTTTTTAGTGCTTCCTTCCCCCCACTATCATGATCCCAATTCTACCTTACGAATCTGGCTAGACCAGAGAATGTATGCTGGTACAGATAGGAACTGAAAACACAAGGAATCTAGGACAGATGAACCCCTCAGGACCAGTGGTGAGAGTAGCGATACCGGGAGGGTGGACAGAAGCTGGGGTAGAAAGGGGGAACCGATCACAAGGATCTACATAGAACCCCCTCCCTGGGGGATGGACAACAGAAAAGTGGGTGAAGGGAGACCTTGGACAGTGTAAGACATGACAAAATAATAATGATTTATAAATTATCAAGGGTTCATAAGGGAAGAGGGGTGGGGAGGGAGGGAAAAATGAGTTGATGCCAAGGGCTCAAGTAGAAAGCAAATGCATGAAAATGATGGCAACAAATGTACAAATGTGCTTCACACAATGGACGTATGTATGACTTGTGATAAGAGTTGTACCAGCCTCCAATAAAATGATTAATAACCCCCCCCACATTAATCGTATCAAGCATAATTGTACATATGCTGCCATCATCATTTTCTGAACATTTACATTGTATTTGAGCCTTTGGTATCAGCTGCTCTTTGTTTCCTTTCTTCCCGCCCTCCCACCCTTGTGACCCCTTGATAAATTCTGAATTACTATTCTTTTCATGTCTTACACTGATTACTGGCTCCATCCACATGTCTGTTGTTTGCCCCCCTTGGGGTGTATGTGTGTGTGGTAAGGTGTCAATCATTGTGATTGGTTCCCTCTTCTTCCTTCCTCTCCCCAACTTCCCTCTACCCTCCAGGATTTGCTACTCCCAGTTCTGTTCCTGAGGGGTTTATCTGACCTGGATTCTGTTTGTCGTGAGCTCTTATCTGTACCTGTGCACATGCTCCGTCTAGCCAGAACTGAAAGGCATGACGGGTCATGATAGTGGGGGATGAGAAAGCTTCCAGGAACCAGAGGAATATTGTGTGTTTCATTGGTGCTGTGCTGCACCCTGGTTGACTCACCAATTCCTTGTGATCCTTCTGTGAGGGGATGTCCCATTGTCTACAGATGGGTTTTGGTGGTCTCTGCTCTGACTCCCCTCATTCTCAACCATATGTTTTTTGTTTCTTTGGGGTCTTCTGATGCCTGTTATCCTGTCCCATTGACATTTCATGACCACACAGGCTGGTGTGCTTCTTCCATGTGGACTTGTTGCTTCTCTGCTAGATGGCTGAGATGGCTACTTGTCTAACTTCAGGCCTTTAAGAGCTCAGATGCTGTGTCCTTTGATAGTCAGGCACCATCCACTTTTTTCACCACAGTTGCTTATGCACCCATTTTGTCTTCAGCAATGGTGCCGGGAGGGTAAGCATCACAGAATGCTAGGTTGTTAGAACCAAGTGTTTCTGCTTTGAGGGAGGGCTTGAGCAGAGGCCCAACGTTCGCCCAC